AGCCGTAATGACTTAGCGCTTTCCCCCTGATAATTCCCTCCCTTCCCTTCCCTTCCCTTCCTTCCCTTCCTTTCCCTTTCCTTCCCTTCCCTTCCCTTCCCTTCCCTTCCCTTCCCTTACCCTTCCCTTCCCTTCCAAGTGCTACATAGTCCTACTAACTTCGCACTTATCACCTCATAATTACCTGATCTTACCTATTTCAAATAATGTCCCCCATAATTTGCTTTAAACTAATTGGACGTTTTTATTAGTTTTGGTGATCTACTTCACCTTTAAAGAATGTGGCTCCGTGTGACTCTATCCATCTCTGGAACCATTAGACTCACATCTAATGGTTCATAGATTATCCATAACAGTGGTTGTATGAACTCACATCTATTTGATGAGCCTTTTCACTCTCCCGCGAAATCACCTGAACACACACACACACACACCCACACACCACACACACACACACACACACACACACACACAACACACACACACACACACACCACACACACACACACACACACACACACACACAGAAGAGTAGATTAATTAATGAGAAGAGTTGTGACAGACGAGGATTGTAGGATCCTCCAAGAGGACTTAAACAGGCTGCAGAGATGGTCAGAGAAATGGCTACTGGAGTTTAACACCAGTAAATGTAAAAGTTATGGAAATGGGATCAGGTGACAGGAGACCAAAGGGACAGTAAACAATGAAGGGGAACAGCCTACCTGTAACGATTCGAGAAAGAGACCTGGGAGTGGATGTGACACCTAATCTAACTCCTGAGCACATATAAATAGGATAACGACAGCAGCGTACTCTACACTGGCGAAAATTAGAACTTCATTCAGAAACCTAAATGAGGAAGCTTTTAGGGCGCTTTACACTGCCTACGTGAGACCCGTCTTAGAGTATGCCGCGCCATCATGGAGCCCCCACCTGAAGAAACACATAAAGAAAACTGGAGAAGGTTCAGAGGTTTGCGACGAGGCTTGTCCCAGAGCTACGAGGGATGGGATATGAAGAGCGGCTGAAGGAACTGAACCTTACGACACTAGAGAAAAGAAGGGAGAGAGGAGATATGATAGGGACATATAAAATACTCAGGGGAATTGACAAAGTGGAAATAGATCAAATGTTCACACGTAATAATAACAGAACGAGGGGACATGGGTGGAAACTGGAACTCAGATGAGTCACAGAGATGTTAGGAAGTTTTCTTTTAGCGTGAGAGTAGTAGAAAAATGGAATGCACTTGGGGAACAGGTTGTGGAAGCAAATACTATTCATACTTTTAAAACTAGGTATGATAGGGAAATGGGACAGGAGTCATTGCTGTAAACAACCGATAGCTAGAAAGGCGGGATCCAAGAGTCAATGCTCGATCCTGCAAGCACATATAGGTGAGTACATATAGGTGAGTACACACACACACACACACACCCAACAATTTGTCCTGTCTAACCGTCCCTGGTTCTCCCCCCCCACCAAAGTCACGTGCCACCACCACCCCTTCCAACCCCACAACCCCCTTCCCCCTCCTCCCCCCACCGCTGCTCCCCCAAACAATGGACCCCCCCCCCCCCCGGGACAGGAGCCGTGTACCCGGTCCACTAAATACAGCAGTGCCCATGCATGGTCCCATTGTTTGTGCTGGTAATAGAATAATATCAGATTATCGGATCAATGGCTTTCCCTCCACGATCATATTGTTCGGGTATAAAAAGCAAAAAAAAAAAGTAGGTAACGAAGCCTTGCGGGGTTGGAGGGGGAGTAGGGGGGGGTTGGTGTGTGACGGGGTTGACGGGTGATGTGTGACGGGGTTGACGGGTGATGTGTGACGGGGTTGACTAGGACAGGGTGATGTGTGACGGATGCTAGAACGAGGGCTGGGAGGCATAGGGACAGGCGCGATGTGACGTGATTAATGGACAGGTGACGTGAGCAAGTGACGGGTGCCGTGGGACAGGTGACGGGAGCAAGTGACGGGTGCCGTGGGACAGGTGACGGGTGACAGGTGACGCGCCCCCCCCCCCCCCGTCACACACACACACACACACACTCACACACACACACACACACACACACCACACACACACACTCACACCACACACACACACACACACACACACACACACACACACACACACACACACACACACACACACACACACACACACACACACACGTCAGCACAAACATTAATTTGTCCAACAGCGGACGCAGCGTTTTATGTAAATAAGACGAGCAAAACTGTAGTGTACAATATTTGCCGTCGCATCGATTCATTATATTTCCTGGCTGTAAAATTTAATGATGATTTATTACTGGCTTGGAACGAATGTTTTGGGTGCAAATTTTTTTTTTACATTTCCACATATAGCTCATACATACATACATATATATATATATATATATATATATATATATATATATATATATGTCGTACCTAGTAGCCAGAACTCACTTCTCAGCCTACTATTCAAGGCCCGATTTGCCTAATAAGCCAAGTTTTCATGAATTAATATATTTTCTCTATTTATTTTCTTATGAAATGATAAAGCTACCCATTTCATTATGTATGAGGTCAATGTGTTTTTATGGGAGATAAAATTAAAGTAGATATATGACCGAACCTAACCAAACCCTACCTAACCTAACCTAACCTATCTTTATAGGTTAGGTTAGGTTAGGTAGCCGAAAAAGTTAGGTTAGGTTAGGTTAGGTAGGTTAGGTAGTCGAAAAACAATTAATTCATGAAAACTTGGCTTATTAGGCAAATCGGGCCTTGCATATTAGGCTGAGAAGTGAGTTCTGGCTACTAGGTACGACATATATATATATATATATATATATATACATACATTCATGCACACGCACGTATGTATACCATTTCCCACGGTGGGTAAGAGTCATTAGACACTGGCAAAACTCGGGTTTCTCAGCTGTGGGAATTAAGATGCTTGTATCGGAACTACCTTGTTATAGTCTATAACTTCCTGCGGAGAAAAAGCTTAATTGACGCTTGCTGGGTGATGGACTTTATAAGGGTACTCAAGCTGTGGATGATTCAGGTTTACTGTATCTCCATCACGAAAGCTTGCTAACTGCAACTGGCAAATATACTTTATATGCTCCTGTGTATACTTTGGGGGGCTATATCATGCTCTCGCATATATAATCTTTCATATAGTTTATGTAATTAATTTAAAGGACGTCAAATGTGTTGGATTCAACATTATTTATTGGAGTGTTACTTCAACGTCTGTGTTTCGTCTGTGTGAAACTCTGTGTGTGAAACACAGAGTTTCGTCTGTGTTTTTGAGTCTATATGTGAGTATTTGTGTCTGAGTGTGAGTATGTGTGTCTGTGAGTATGTGTGCCTATGAGTATTAGTGTATGTGGGCACGTGTTTGTGAGTCTGTGAGTTCGTTTGTGTCTGCATGTGCGTTTGTGAGTGTGTATGTGTCTGTGAATCTATAGTTTGTGTGTGTCTGTGTGCCTTTGATTCTGTATGTGTGTGTGTGTGTGTGTCTGTGTACTCACCTAGTTGTGCTCGCGTGTATATGAGTCTGTCATTGCTCCCACCCTGTACACCTTTACAAGTGTCCATTAGAGAAAACCCCGTTCCTTTACCACAACCGATGTACGAAATGGTTACGCAACTTTGCTGAAATCGTACTCAAAATATATATAAGCCCCGTGTACCAATCGACTTTCTACTTTTTTAAATTTCCTGTGGCTATTGTGTAAAGTTCGATGATATTTTCTCAAAATAGTGTCCATAAAGATGGTGGAGAGTCCTGCTGGGTCACGCTCACACCAGGACTGCTGAAGAGGTCACTCTAGTTTATGCTAAGCATAAAAGGTTTTCCATCTGGAGCGTTGGTGGGGCATTCTCAGCCCCTCTGGAAGGACTGAGTTCTCTCTCTCTCTCTCTCTCTCTCTCTCTCTCTCTCTCTCTCTCTCTCTCTCTCTCTCTCCTCTCTCTCTCTCTCTCTCTCTCTCTCTCTCTCTCTCTCTCTCTCTCTCTCTCTCTCTCTCTCTCTCTCTCTCTCTCTCTCTCTCTCTCTCTCTCTCTCTCTCTCTCTCTTTCTCTCTCTGCCATTTTAAATATTCTCCCTATTATGGAAAGACTCCATCCATCTCTCTCTCTCTCTTCTCCTCTCCAATTCCCACTCTTCAATTCCTTCTCCAATCCCCTAGCTCTCCTCTCGCATTCCCTCTTTCAACTTCCCCTCCTATCCCCCCTTTCATCCCCTCTCCCATCTCCAGTGACAGCCTCGTGCCGGGCCAGGAATTACCGTAGTAAGCACGCTGGCGTTCCCACAGGTCATCTCATTATGACTCTTTCAGTGTTCGTGGCTGGGGGAGGAGTGGGAGTCCGTGGTCCTGGTGGGATGGGGAGTGGGTAGGGGGCGTCGTGTGGAAGGGAGGTGGGAGAGAGAGAGAGGGGACCAGCCAGAAGGAGTGAGGGAGAGGTGGGAGAGACAGATCGAAGGAGTGGGGGAGAGCTGGGAGAGACAGAAGGAGTGGGGGAGAGGTGGGAGAGACAGAAGGAGTGGGGGAGAGGTGGGAGAGACAGAAGGAGTGGGGGAGAGGTGGGAGAGACAGAAGGAGTGGGGGAGAGGTGGGAGAGACAGAAGGAGTGGGGGGAAGTGAGTATAGTTGGGTGTAGAAGCTTGAGGAGATAATAAAGGAGACGTGATATTATAATTGCACTCCCCCCCTTCCCTCTTTCTTCACTTCTGAATGTGATTCTCCCGTTTTCTTTTATGGAGGGGGACTGCTTCACCTGGAAGACTTCCTATGCCTGGGTTGCTGCTCGAACCCTGCTGTCAGGGGCCACCACCACCCCTGTAGGTGGACACCGGACCGCCCCCCCCCCTTCATTGGACGGACAAACCCCCCTTCGACGACCCCCTCGGCCGCCATAAACGCCCTCCCCCCCTCCCCCTCTCCTATGATGCCACCTAACGAATGGTGGGAAAAAAAACTTTCTGGAGTCAATAATAATCCTGTAAGTCCATTATTGGTGTTTTCTGACGCCTCTTGTCTATTGTCGAGGGAGACGAGGGCGAGGCGGACAATGGTCGGGCGAGGCTTGACAATGGTCGGGCGAGGCTGGAAAAGGGTCGGGCGAGGCTTGACAATGGTCGGGCGAGGCGGATAATGGTCGGGCGAGGCGGACAATGGTCGGGCGAGGCTTGACAATGGTCGGGCGAGGCTGGAAAAGGGTCGGGCGAGGCTTGACAATGGTCGGGCGAGGCTGGACAAGGGTCGGGCGAGGCTGGACAAGGGTCGGGCGAGGTTGGACAAGGGTCGGGCGAGGCTGGAAAAGGGTCGGGCGAGGCTTGACAATGGTCGGGCGAGGCTGGACAAGGGTCGGGCGAGGCTGGACAAGGGTCGGGCGAGGTTGGACAAGGGTCGGGCGAGGCTGGAAAAGGGTCGGGCGAGGCTTGACAATGGTCGGGCGAGGCTGGACAAGGGTCGGACGAGGCGGACAATGGTCGGGCGAGGCGGACAATGGTCGGACGAGGCGGACAATGGTCGGGCGAGGCTTGACAATGGTCGGGCGAGGCTGGACAAGGGTCGGACGAGGCGGACAATGGTCGGGCGAGGCGGACAATGGTCGGGCGAGGCGGACAATGGTCGGGCGAGGCGGACAATGGTCGGGCGAGGCGGACAATGGTCGGGCGAGGCGGACAATGGTCGGGCGAGGCGGACAATGGTCGGGCGAGGCGGACAATGGTCGGGCGAGGCGGACAAGGGTCGGGCGAGGCGGACAAGGGTCGGGCGAGGCGGACAATGGTCGGGCGAGGCGGACAAGGGTCGGGCGAGGCGGACAATGGTCGGGCGAGGCGGACAATGGTCGGGCGAGGCGGACAATGGTCGGGCGAGGCGGACAATGGTCGGGCGAGGCGGACAATGGTCGGGCGAGGCGGACAATGGTCGGGCGAGGCGGACAAGGGTCGGGCGAGGCGGACAATGGTCGGGCGAGGCGGACAATGGTCGGGCGAGGCGGACAATGGTCGGCCGAGGCGAACAAGGGTCGGGCGAGGCGGACAATGGTCGGGCGAGGCGGACAATGGTCGGGCGAGGCGGACAATGGTCGGCCGAGGCGAACAAGGGTCGGGCGAGGCGGACAATGGTCGGGCGAGGCAGACAATGGTCGGCCGAGGCGGACAAGGGTCGGGCGAGGCGGACAATGGTCGGCCGAGGCGGACAAGGGTCGGGCGAGGCGGACAATGGTCGGGCGAGGCGGACAATGGTCGGGCGAGGCGGACAAGGGTCGGGCGAGGCTGTGTTTCCTCACACACCAGCCCAGATGTGGCAGGTGTTAGCTCACTGTGTTGGACAAGAGGGGGGCGAGGGAGTGAAGGAGGTATAGGGAGGAAAACAGGAAAAAGAAAGAGACAGGGAGTAAGAGAGGGAAAAGAAGGAGATAGTGTGTGGGAGACAAGGGAGGGAGAAGCGGTTAGAGGGAAAGGAAGGAGGGGGGGGGGAGGGAGATGAGGATGAACTAAAAGCGGAATCATCATCATCTCCGTGGCACTCATCAATATTATCAACATCATCTATGCAATCATCTATACAAGGGGCAGCAGTCTTGGCGTGCTAGAGACCAGCATATATACACCCTGGGCTCGGTAAAGCGGCCACCACACACACACTGTGGACGCTGATACCGAGGACTGTGTGATAAGCAGTGTGACGAGCACCGGTTATATGTGGTCCATTGGTGGACTGGCGGTCTATGAGGTCTTCCCTATGATCCCTATCACAACCATATCCTCTCTCTCTCTCTTCCCTGCCATCCTATAATTCCTCCTGTTCTCGCTTTCCGATTTGCCCTTTCCTGTCATTGCTATCTCGTCACAAGTCTTATTCTAAGATTTTCCCCTGTCGTTATATCCTGTGTCTTCGCCTTCTAGCCTTATCCTCTCTTCTCCTATCCTAATTAAGCGCCCTTCTTCTTCTTCTTCCTTGGTGGACTCACTCCCGACTTTCTCTCTTTACCGCCCCGTCACTCTCTATCTTCCGTTCCCTGTTTACACTCTATATCCCTCCCTTCTCGTCCTTACGTCCTCTCCCATATTGCCTTTCACTCTCCCCTAACCACAGTCTACATGCTGGAGGCGAGGCAGGCGGCGTAAGATGAAACTGGGCGCGTCATTTGCCAAGGCTGCGAGGCTAAGTACCAGGGGCCAGATTCACGAAAGCACTTACGAACCTGTACATCTTTTCTCAATCTTTGGCGGCTTTGTTTACAATTATTAAACAGTTAATGAGCTTCGAAGCACCAGGAGGCTGTTTATAACAATAACAACAGTTGATTGGCAAGTTTTCATGCTTGTAAACTGTTTAATAAATGTAACCAAAGCCGTCAAAGATTGAGAAAAGATGTACAGGTTCGTAAGTGCTTGCGTAAGTTCTTTCGTGAATCTGGCCCCAGAATAACAAAAATGTGATGGGGGACTTTTAGCATCACGTAGCTGGTTCTAGGAGCACTCTGTACTGCCCTTCACATGGTCTAGGGCAGCGGAACAAATGCAGATGTATCTAAATGTGTTTAAAAACAAAAGTAATCTGAAAGGTGATTGATTCTTGGTGCTCTAAGATATACAATCATCTTGTGCATCTTAGGGGCACAAGATGATTGTGCATCATGATCATCATTAACATGAGGGAAGGGATTGTAGTTTCCAAACACACCTAAGAAAATCATGCAAGTCGACAGGACCTTTTGCATTAAAGTTAAGAGAATCTCTTTACCTTTCCAGAATTGCTCTGAGACTAAATATAACGTGCCTTTATTATTGTAATTCAGAGGTGCTATATACCAACTCCTTAAAATCCATCGACATAGGAAAGGCAATGGGGCCGCATAAGGTCTGCCAGTGACTGTCATGCACGTCTATGTTGACCCCCCCTGCCTTCTCTCACACACACAAACGTCTACCAGTACACAGAGAGTAATCACACTAACGTGACTGCATCAATGAGAAAAATCTCCGAAAATCGAGAAAATCCGCATCACGGCTCCGACGAAATTTTCTCGCGTATATCAACTCTGCCAAATTCAAGGAATCTGGACCTCATTATATAATTAGGCAGATGTAGTTCCCAGTTCACAAAAAGGAAGAGTCGTTGAGTGATTGACGACTATATAGAGCAGTGTCACTGCTTTCAATTTCTGGCAAAAAAAAAATGTGTCAATAATCACTCAACAAATGACAGCATAATCTGATCATCATTAGTTGACAGTCGACATTATGGTTTCAGAAAAGATCGTTGTGCTGTAGATCTTTCATTCAGCCTTTCTGCTAAGTGGCATCATTCATCGGTTGATTCTAAGACCAGCTGTGTTGTTGCACTGGACAGTGTAAGTACCTTTTGAGCGGGTATGGCATCTCGGGTTACTCTCAAGGCGTCAAGCACTATCTCGGGCTCCATCTTACAGCTAACAAGGAACTATCTTCAATGGATCATAACAGTAGTCTTCAATGGAGCAATATCTGAAATCTTCTCGACGTGTACCAGCGTACCACAGGGTAGTGTCCTTGGCTATATGCTTGGCCTCTTGGTGTGTGCTTGGCCCCCTTGGTGTGTGCTTGGCCCCTTGGTGTGTGCTTGACTGTGTCCTTGGCCCCTTGGTGTGTGCTTGGCCCCTTGGTGTGTCCTTGGCTGTGTCCTTGGTCTCTTGGTGTGTGCTTGGCCTCATGGTGTGTCCTTGGCTGTGTTCTTGGCCCCTTGGTGTGTGCTTGGCCCCATGGTGTGTCCTTGGCCCCCTTGGTGTGTGCTTGGCCCCATGGTGTGTCCTTGGCCCCCTTGGTGTGTGCTTGGCCCCATGGTGTGTCCTTGGCCCCCTTGGTGTGTGCTTGGCCCCATGGTGTGTCCTTGGCCCCCTTGGTGTGTGCTTGGCCCCTTGGTGTGTCCTTGGCTGTGTCCTTGGCCCCTTGATGTGTGCTTGGCCTCATGGTGTGTCCTTGGCCTCCTTGGTGTGTCCTTGGCCCCCTTGGTGTGTGCTTGGCTGTGTTCTTGGCCCCTTGGTGTATGCTTGGCCCCACGGTGTGGCATGTCTAATTCAACATCTAATCCCTGAAGCTCACGCTTATGTTTATGCTAAGCCCTCTTACCCTTATACATGAAAGAGAGAGTATATACCAACCACAAACTAGTACCAATATCAACATTGGGAAGGCATTGGCAGGTTACATTTTCACCTGAGAAAACGCAGGTGAAGATGATAACTGGACGGCGTGACAGCAGCCGCGACAAGAATACGGACAAGCACAGCAAGGAAGGTGACATGTTCAACGACCATCTTAGAGTTAGGTCCTCAACCTTACAAACAAATCAGCCGAGAAACTTACACCCCCTAAGGCGTGACTTGTACCTTCTCGAGAGCAATGGTTACTATATCTTTTTGAAATGCTAGTTCGTCCAACATCTTGACTATATCGTGAAGTTATCTTGAGATGATTTCGGGGCTTTTTAGTGTCCCCGCGGCCCGGTTCTCGACCAGGTCTCCACCCCCAGGAAGCAGCCCGTGACAGCTGACTAACACCCAGGTACCTATTTTACTGCTAGGTAACAGGGGCATAGGGTGAAAGAAACTCTGCCCATTGTTTCTCGCCGGCGCCTGGGATCGAACCCAGGATCACAGGTCCAGCGTACTGTCCGCTCGGCCGACCGGCTCCCCACTATGCCCACTCTCAAAAATATCTCCCCCCCCCCCCCGCATTATTTATCCGAATTCTGGACAAGGTAGAAAAATCGTGCGAGAAGACTCATCTCTAGTCTTGACCCAGTTCTGCTTTGGTTGGTCAGTACATCAGAGCCTTCAACACCAGAGAGATATTGGGCCGTCTTTCTGTTATGTCGAAGATCAATGTTCTCAAAGTACACCACCTGACCAAACGTCGTGGAACAAGTAGAAGGTGGCAACCGCAACACAAGACGCTCAGCCATTAGCTAGCACGGTCTCATGCTCGATGTGCCATTCTCAAGAACACCAATTCATCGCCGCTGATTCTTTTTAGGCTGACTCGTGTTTGGATCATGTTCTTTCAACACGTAAGAAACGCTTAAAATCATGTTAACTGACCACACGAAGGCGCATGGCGCCAGCTTCACCCCCTGTACCTAACGTGTGCATCCTGTGAGTCTAAACTTACCGTTGAAAAACTACGAATACAATAATGATAAGCTCATTACCGAGTCCAGTCTCTGTCGGGCTTCAGATGAGCTGATGCGAGATACCTGCTCTTAGCTTGCAGTTTCCTAAGGACCACCAGTACCATCCTTAACGAGATGCAGAGAGAGAGAGAGAGAGAGAGAGAGAGAGAGAGAGAGAGAGAGAGAGAGAGAGAGAGAGAGAGAGAGAGAGAGAGAGAGAGAGAGAGAGAGAGAGAGAGAGAGAGAGAGAGAGAGAGAGAGAGAGAGAGAGAGAGAGAGAGAGAGAGAGAGAGAGAGAGAGAGAGAGGAATATCAACAGAAGGGTGGAGGGCCAGCCACAACGTGTCCTGCTGGGACATGCAATAAGTGACCAGCTGAGTCCCAATCTTCTTCACCGTCTCTACCTGTGGGAGGCTGGGCGTGACGGTGAGGGGGGGGGGTGGGCGTGACGGTGATGGGTGTGGGCGTGACGGTGAGGGGTGTGGGCGTGACGGTGAGGTGGTGGGCGTGACGGTGAGGGTGGGCGTGACGGTGAGGTGGTGGGCGTGACGGTGAGGGTGGGCGTGACGGTGAGGGGTGGGCGTGACGGTGAGGGGTTGTGGGCGTGACGGTGAGGGGGTGTGGGCGTGACGGTGAGGGTGGGCGTGACAAGATTGATTTATCTATAATACGTATTTAATCCTAGATAATTCCTTCCTCAGATTCATAAAGACAGTTGGTATGTTGGCCGACCTCGCATATGCTGCTGATACTGTCCGGTTGATGTGTGGGCTTCCCTCTATATGAACCAAGACCTATAATTATCTGTAAGACTCAAAGAGTGTTACCTGTCTCCTGTGGCACCTTGAGTTAGGCTTCTTGTGAGTGTCTCTCTCTGAAAGTCTTTGTACATGTGTCTGTATATGTGTGTTCATGTGTACGGAACAGATATATAGTGTTGCCATACGAGTATAAGTAGTGTGGTGGGGCTAGGTGTTGGGGCTAGGTGGTGGGGCTAGGTGGTGGCTAGGTGGTGGCTAGGAGAGGAGCCATCCCGTCGTCGGTCCATCATTCTACCTCAGCCATTAATTACTTGCGTGGGGGGCTCACCACGCGGTCAGACATCCATCTGTTTACATTACCACACGTTAACATTATCGCTACCACCACTACCACCACTACCACTACCACCACTACCACCACCACCACCACCACCACTACCATCACTACCAGCACATACTCCACTTGTCGCTTCAATTCTACTCCGCTAACATATTCTCCTTTACCTTCCTCCTTCAGAGAGGGTTCTCAAGGCTCACGTGAGGGGTGGAGGACCGTCCCTCGCTCCACTACTTCACTATTCTCATGTATCTGTGATTAGCAGTCAGCAGTGATTATATATATATATATATATATATATATATATATATATATATATATATATATATATATATATATATATATATATATATATATATATATATATGTAGATCTACTAGTAGTGGTAACAGGCGGCTACATCTTCACTATCTTGATCACCATAACCATCTACATTAGTCACTATCTTCATCACAGTAACCATCTTAACTATATATCCATCTTTACTACCCGGACACCATCTATACACACCCGTGAGGATCCATCATCACCACAACCTTCCTTGCATTTCCTTCACAGACTTAAAACTCCTTCACTACCTTACCTCTCCCTCATCATCTTCCCTACCCTTCACCTCCTTCCTTATCTTTCACCCTTTCTCCTTCCCTTCACCACCCCAACCCATCCTCCTAATAGAACGTCGCATTTTGACGTATATGCTACCTAAGGCCGCATTAAAGAAAATAAATGGTAGCGTCTCGCGAAATTGACATGCTGTCCCGTTTTCTGCTTTGGGTCCTCTGGTTGGTTAGGATAAGGGCACTTTAGTAGGACAGTTTCTTGACGCTGAGAGACCTTAGGAGGACGGGCTGCACCACCTTCCTTACTCTTCATGCCTTTCTTATCTTCATTGTAACCATAGTTTCACTTAATGACCAGGGAGCGGGTCGGCCGAGCGGGCAGCACGCTGGACTTGTGATCCTGTGGTCCTGGGTTCGATCCCAGGCGCCGGCGAGAAACAAAGGGCAGAGTTTCTTTCACCCTATGCCCCTGTTACCTAGCAGTAAAATAGGTACCTGGGTGTTAGTCAGCTGTCACGGGCTGCTTTCTGGGGGTGGAGGCCTGGTCGAGGACCGGGCCGCGGGGACACTAAAGCCCCGAAATCATCTCAAGATAACCTCAAGATAATCACCAATAAATAAATGGCATTACAAGCTAACATATAATCATAGACAATAATATCCTAGATGAATCATAGTAATTGATACTATAGGAGAGAGGGAAAGATAGGAGATGGAAAGGGGAAGATGAGAGAGGGGAAAGATAAGGATGATGAAAGGGGTAGGAGAGGGGAGATGGAGAATAGTGGAGAGAAGGAGAAGAGTGGTAATGACGAAGAGGGGGGTGGAAAAAATGGGAGAAGGAAGGAATAAGGGGAAGAGTGTGGAAGGGGGAAGTGAGAAGGTAGTTTGAACGTAAACCAGATGTGGTAAACTTGCTGGATTAACAGTGCACCACCCCCACACAGTGTAGGCACGACCACACACCCCCACACAGTGTAGGCACGACCACACACCCCCACACAGTGTAGGCACGACCACACACCCCCACACAGTGTAGGCACGACCACACACCCCCACACAGTGTAGGCACGACCACACACCCCCACACAGTGTAGGCACGACCACACACCCCCACACAGTGTAGGCACGATCACACACCCCCACACAGTGTAGGCACGACCACACACCCCCACACAGTGTAGGCACGACCACACACCCCCACACAGTGTAGGCACGACCACACACCCCCACACAGTATAGGCACGACCACACACCCCCACACAGTATAGGCACGACCACACACCCCCACACAGTGTAGGCACGACCACACACCCCCACACAGTGTAGGCACGACCACACACCCCCACACAGTGTAGGCACGACCACACACCCCCACACAGTGTAGGCACGACCACACACCCCCACACAGTGTAGGCACGACCACACACCCCCACACAGTGTAGGCACGACCACACACCCCCACACAGTGTAGGCACGACCACACACCCCCACACAGTGTAGGCACGACCACACACCCCCACACAGTGTAGGCACGACCACACACCCCCACACAGTATAGGCACGACCACACACCCCCACACAGTGTAGGCACGACCACACACCCCCACACAGTGTAGGCACGACCACACACCCCCACACAGTATAGGCACGACCACACACCCCCACACAGTGTAGGCACGACCACACACCCCCACACAGTGTAGTCACGACCACACACCCCCACACAGTGTAGGCACGACCACACACCCCCACACAGTATAGGCACGACCACACACCCCCACACAGTGTAGGCACGACCACACACCCCCACACAGTGTAGGCACGACCACACACCCCCACACAGTATAGGCACGACCACACACCCCCACACAGTGTAGGCACGACCACACACCCCCACACAGTGTAGGCACGACCACACACCCCCACACAGTGTAGGCACGACCACACACCCCCACACAGTATAGGCACGACCACACACCCCCACACAGTGTAGGCACGACCACACACCCCCACACAGTGTAGGCACGACCACACACCCCCACACAGTGTAGGCACGACCACACACCCCCACACAGTGTAGGCACGACCACACACCCCCACACAGTGTAGGCACGACCACACACCCCCACACAGTGTAGGCACGACCACACACCCCCACACAGTGTAGGCACGACCACACACCCCCACACAGTATAGGCACGACCACACACCCCCACACAGTATAGGCACGACCACACACCCCCACACAGTGTAGGCACGACCACACACCCCCACACAGTGTAGGCACGACCACACACCCCCACACAGTGTAGGCACGACCACACACCCCCCCCCCGTGTAGGCACGACCACACACCCCCACACAGTGTGGGCCCCGACCACACACCCCCACACAGTGTGGGCCCCGACCACACACCCCCACACAGTGTAGGCACGACCACACACCCCCACACAGTGTACACGACCACACACCCCCACACAGTGTAGGCACGACCACACACCCCCACACAGTGTAGGCACGACCACACACCCCCACACAGTGTAGGCACGACCACACACCCCACACAGTGTAGGCACGACCACACACCCCCACACAGTGTAGGCACGACCAC